GCGGCAGATAGAGCAAACAATAAAACATCAGAAAACGCAACAGCCACGGGGAAAGTTCGAGAAAGTTTCCGGGCGGACTAACTCGGTATGGAAGATTGATACGAATTTTTCCCGAAACTTTTTCTTGGAAACGCGTCAATATTTATTACGTTGTTGGCTATCTTAAGAAGAACGAAAACTTCCAATAACAAACTACTGAATTTTGAGATCCTCGACTAATTTCGAATACGAGCCGTATTTCTGACAACTACGGGGTTTTACGACTCGGATTTAATCGCCCACTGGTGGCGCGCAGAGTTAATACATTTTTATACGGGTCTTTACAACTTCATAAAGGTGTCCGTAAAATACCGTTGACGACTAATTTAATTGGTAATTGAATAAATTTCAAGTATTATTTGAATGGAAAAATGTGAGGAATAAATTTTTCGGGATATATTGCGTGTGGTTGTGGAATTCCTTCTTCTTTTTCTACTTTCAATAAGGTACCAAATATGGTATGCTATCGTCTGTTTATCTTTATAAAGTAGACCATCATTAGGGTATCCAGCATTCTCTGCACCTCATCGGCGGTCTTCATCTGAATCCTCTTCCAAATGGTATATTTATTTGCCATTTTGTTTATGAGTTTATTCCAGAATTTTCATATTCTAACCCATTTTATTCACATCTTGTTTTCTATTTCGTTCTCTAAGGTCTTTTCTATTGCATATTGATTTTGTTTACATGAATTTTATTGTTTTCATTTCTACTCTGCGCGAGAAGCTTTAATCATTGCTGGTGCTTGTAGGTACTTTCCTTTTTAAATTTCTATCGCTCTTTAAATCTGCACCCAGATACGTAAATTTCTAATTTAGATTTTCTCTGGTCTTATCGGTCTTAACCCTTTTAGAATGTGCGATGTGCGTCACACTATATGAAAGTTGATTTCTACCATTCTGTCTTGTCGAATTCTGATTTGGTGTGTTTGATTACGAAAAGTAAGCAAGATCCTAATCGGAATTCAACAAACGAACGTTATGTATTGACATTTCCTCACCTTGAGGTCTTCATTTCACATTGCTTTTTATTTTTTTTGTGTCTCCTTTTATTTGAGAAATTTACTTACGAGAACAATCGAAAAAAGCTGATCCTAACTATCCCATCACTTGCCAAGTGCTGTGGAATTATCAGGGTGTTCGGAAATTGAGTTCGCAAACTCGGAGGAACGATTCAAAGTGGTAAAATAATGCTAGTAAGTCACGTACCAAAAAATCGGAATCGTAATATTTTCCGAGTTATAGCTCGTCAACATTATTTTTTTTTATTTTTTTTTTTAAACGGAATAAGCCAGAATTTTACACACAGCCCTGATTTAGTAAAGGTCATCGTTAAAAAATAAAAGTGTTTCAGAAACTAGTCAGTAGAGGGCACTTTACCAAGAACATTTTTTTTTATTTTCCCTGTATGTCATTTATTTAGATTGATTGTCTTTAGAACAGATTGCCTTAAGCAGAATCACAAATTCTCAAAAAGTGTTACCCTTATCTTAAATCGATAAGTGTTATGGTTTAAAAAGTCATTGTCACAATTCGTTAAAAATTAGTTTCTATTAAAAGAGCTTAATATCCAACTGCTACTGTGATAGCGCATCAGGAATATTCAAATACTAAGTATACCGATATGCATTTTTGCTGCGGAGGAGCAAGCACGACGGCTTTATATCCAGGCTTATCCCAATAAAAACGTTCCATTTGCTAAGATATTCATCAACATACACAGAAGACTTGGTGAAAGAGGATCATTCAAACCTGCAAGAGAAGAAATAATATTTCAAATTGTGGAGGCTGACACGTCAACGAGTACGAGAAAACTTCCTGCTCAGGAAACAATTGCTTGCCCTACAGTTTGGGAAGTTTTGCGTGAAAATGACCTTCGTCCCTTTCATGTTCAAAGGGTTCAAGCATTATATGAAGGTGATGAGTCATTGAGAGTAATTTTATGCAATCAAATTTTAGGAAATATTCAAAATTAGCCGCAATTCTTAAATATCATTTTGTTCGCTGGCGAGGCTGCATTCAGTCATGATGCCATAGTAAATTTTCGAAATTTGTATCAGTGGAACATTGAAAACCCACATGCAAAAATTGAAAGAAAACATCAGCGCCGGCTTTCTTTAAATAATGGGTGTTTTTTTTCGATGTATAGAACTTTAAGTTGCCATTATTGTTCAAGATGGCGACCAATTTAACAGCTGTCAAGTGATTTATTCGCAGTTTGGTTTGGCAATTCATCATGAATAGACTCACGCCTGAACAACGCTTGCGTAGATCCGTTGAATGGGCCCAAAACCAGATTGCCGTTGTTCCCGATTTTCATAACCGAATTTTGTTTAGCGATAAAGCGCACTTCTGGTTGAATGGCTACGTCAACAAACAAAACTGCCGCATTTGGAGCGAAGTTAATCCTCAAGTGTTTGTCGAAACACCGTTACATCCAGAAAAACTGACTGTTTGGTGCGCTTTATGGGCTGGTGGAATCATTGGTCCGTACTTCTTCAAAAACGATGATGGCCAGAACGTTACAGTCAATGGTGATCGGTATAGAGCTATGATTACTAACTCTTTCATTCCTGAATTGAATAAGCATGATGTCCAAGAGATGTGGTTTCAACAAGACGGCGCAACATGTCACACAGCTCGTGCCACAATCGATTTATTGAAAGACACGTTTGGTGACCGCCTAATTTGATGTTTTGGAACTACTTTCTGTAGGGCTATGTAAAGTCATTGGTCTATGTGCATAAGCCAGAAACGCTTGACCATTTGGAAGACAACATTCGCCGTGTTATTGCCGATATACGGCCACAAATGTTGGAAAAAGTCATCGAAAATTGGATGTCCAGATTGGATTACATCCGCGCCAGCCATGGCGGTCATATGCCAGAAATCATATTTAAATTGTAATGCCACAAGATTATCTTTCGGATAAATAAAATCCATGTCAATCGAATAATCCATCGTTGTTTTGTTGCAACTTAAAGTTCTATACATCGGAAAAAAACACCCCTTATATGGCCGGAAATTATAGGAGATACTCTTATAGGATCTCATTTCTGTAAGTGATCGCTTAAAGAGAAAATGTATTTATAATTATTCGAAGAGGAGCTACCACCTTTGCTGGAAGAGGTACCCTTGAAGTGGAGACAAAACATGTGGTTAATGCAAGATAGCGCTCCACCCCATTTTATATTGGCTGTACGAAGAATTTTATATCAGGCAGTTGAACATCGATGGATAGGTCGGAACGGATCTCTAGCTTGACCGTCTCGCTCACCAGACCTCATCCGATGAACTCCTTTTTTGGCGGCACTTAAAGTCTTTAGTGTATGAGACACTTATAACAGATATCCATGACCTACGACAAAAAATAAAGAACGAAAGAAATAGGTTAGGCCTATTTTTTCGTGTTCCAAGTGTATATTGTTCAATTCCCGATTATTATTAATAATTTTTTGTTTGCGAGAATGTTAAATGTATTTATATCAATTAAATATGTCATTGCAAAGACTTTTTCATTTGTAGCATGCTGTTTTGAAAAATTTAGTGCACATCACCTGCAGGCTAATAATGATGGCCTGCATTTTCACTTGCTTTTCCGTAACAGAAATGCATTTCGCGATATCCAGTATTACCTTTCTGTAAATTAGAAGGGCCGAGAATAAAAAAATCATTTTGTAGCTAAACGATAGCACTTATCAACGTAAATCAAGAGTAACAATTTTTAAGAATTTGTGATTCTGTTTAAGGCAATCTGTTATATTTTGCAATATAAGTGTAAATAAATAAAATTCAGAAAAAATAAAAAAATATGTAAAAAGGTAAACTAAATCTGTTCGGGCAAGAACAAACGTATTAAAAAATTCGCCAATAAATATAGCATGTTCCAATTGTAATTGTGACTGAGGGTATTGAGAAATATATGTTTGATGTCTAGCCGTCGCGAGCTGGAATCAAGATCTATGGTTATTCTAATTTCTTTGAAGCTCCCTTTGTCAACCTGCTCGAACTACTCACTAGAATAGGTTAGGTTACATTATATTACATACTGTCTCTTTCTTTTGTTACTATACATTGCTCTGTAAATGGATTGTTTTCTGCTGAGCAATAAAGCTATTATTATTATTATTCATTTGAAAAAAATTGATGATTAAATCTTCTTCAATGGGACTACAGTCACATACGATTAAGAAACCTTCTGTTGCACCAGCACTAGTATTAGAGGATTTTGAACACTTTTTATAAAACTTCTGGATTCCTCCTGGGTCGGTTTTCGTTGACTCGAACTAGCTAACGTTTCGTCAATCATCCTGTTGGCTTCTTCAGATCTTGACTAAAACTGGCTCGCATTTTACTTTGTACCTGCTTTTATATTGGTTTCTACATTATTACAGCAGCCTATGGAAGTTGCTTTAAAAAAAGATTTTGAACACCTTTATCTACAGAGAGAAATTCCAAAAATGTGCCAAAATTAATTGATATTTTTTATAAAACCTATATAAGAGCATATACGAGCCGTTTAATAGAAATATCGAATGTAGATTATTTCTTGGACTTTTACGAATAAAATTTTAGAAAATCATTATTCGTTGCACTGCAAATTTTGGCAAGGACTGTTTACAAAAATTGTATTTCAGCGGATATATTCGAGAAACGAAAGCAAAATTCAACTCTTGCTGTTATCGTCGTTTGTCTCAACATATTTTCTTCGTATTTTCGTTCCGCTCACATATGAAATATATAATAAAAGGCTGTAAAATACGCTGAAACTGCAAATTCGAGGCTCCTCGGCAAAACCCCTGTCACGGAACCTTACATCCTACTCAAATACATAGCTTGTGACCTGAATAATTTTATGCCACTGATATCTGCCTCCTTAGCTTTCTGTGTTACTAATCTTTATAAAGTTTATAGCTGCAGTTGTCTAAGTTGTCCTTTACGCGGAGTTTCCTTTGTTTTCAGCCCTAATGACAATGCGTAATGGGGAGACAGTTTCTCTCGAAGTCGGAGGAATTTGTCATTATGGTCGTATGGATTTGTACTGCACCGTTGTTGGACGTAAACGCGCACGTGAAAAAGGTAAGCAAATTTTATTCAAGATTTCATTGTTCATTTCTTCGATGTCATCTAAATTTCGATAATATTGTGAAAACTAAACTAAGTCGGTTAGAATTCATACTAACTGTTTCGGCCCTCGATTTTTTCGAAATTTTAACAAAATGACATATAATTAGAGACATTTTTATTCGATACTCACCCATAATTGTCATACCACTATTATGATTTCGTATTAAAATGTTCGGGACAGTTTCTATGTCTGCTGATACAGAGAGATACTTGACATTTTTCACGTGGAACGGGTACTATTTCCACACGTCTCTAACTTGCAGCATTGTTGATGTCATCTATGTGGACTGGCCATAGCCAATACCATCGAATCTAATATCAATCACAGGAAGCGACTAACCAAAACTAAAACCTTCGATTACGTTGTAATACGTAAGGTTGCTTTTCATTTTACTCACAAAACAGCCACAAAGAGTATAAAATTATATTTATTGGAAGCCATGGAGATTAACAAAATGAGACATTCAAATGTATTGCTTATTGAACTTAAATTCTCACAACATTACTTGAGGTTTTATTGTCATTTTTCGGTATATATAGTAGCAGGTAGTTTGTAAATATTATATTTGATAAAGACACGGTGTTGTCGAAGCCATTGTCATGCGAAAATATATAATTTCGTGAAAATCCGAAGTTTTAGTTCTTATTTCAGCCTCTCAGATCTAAAATATTGACATTTCAGCGGCACGTTTTGACGATACTAGTTATTTTGTAATTTTTGCTATGTCGAAAAAATGATTTGTGTTGCTACCTAATAAATACCCATGGTTTTAAATGTTTGTGGGTGGTTTAGTTTTGCAAAACAACCAAATAAACTGAAACTACTTTTATCCCCCATCATGTGATTTAATTAAAACGCAAGAAAAAGCAAGGGTAACTTTTTTATTACAAAATATATTATTCAATATGGTACCGATAAAACAAGATTATGGCTTCAGGTTTTTAATAATTTCTAAATTTGACAAAACATGAGTCTTCAGGAAATAACATCACTTATAGACTAGTTTATTAAGTAATTTTTTAAAATAACCTCGTTATGGTGTGCCAATATTAAATAATATACTTTATACTGCAAACCAGAAACGTATTAAGATGTGCATTGAGAATAGTCGTCGGTCGAGGCTTCATTCAATTCGAGCTTCCACCAGTAGAAAGACACAAAGTTAATTAAAATAGCCAGGTTCTGTATTATTAAACTTTTTACCGAATAGGGCACATCTAGTCCGCGACTGCCTTGCCCCTTGCAAATACAATTACAGACGGCGGGGACATTTCTACGGGGATTTCCACGAAGCATTTCAAGATTTACCGTAATTGAATCCGTGATTTTACCCTGAGGATTCGGGAAACTGCTCGGCAATCAAATCTTGGCCGTTGAAGCACCTTGACGGTCCCGTAATTCGATTAGCTATTTGTTTATTCTGTTGTAATTGTATCGTTCGTACAATGGCCAAACAATGGTACTTTTTTTTATGTTATTTCACATTCTCAATTTGTTCGCAGTTCAGTTAGCTAGGTGCTGTAAGGTAAAGTCTGTTCATAGATATAAGAAAGTGACTAACTGATACGAATTGAGGAAAGACCCGGGCAAGCTGTAAGAATGAAATATGGCCGAACAGGTCCGTACTTTGCTTAGAATTTAATTATTTGGGGTTTTGTTAGGAAAGATACTAAACAATATTTATTTATTTTTGTATGTATTTATGTTTAAATCTAAAATAAAATTACAAATTATTTTTATTACCTACTTAAATTACTTCAAATTATTCACATAATATATCAGTATCACTATCGCTATCATCGCCTGTTCTAATTAGTATTTGTTCTATATTATTTGCAATATGGATACACGATTGTTCTGCTTTTCCTATTTGACGAATGGCAGATTTCAGTTGGTGCAAACATGTTCAATGGGATTAAATATACAGTGGTAAGGTGGAAGCCTTAAAACTGTATGCCCTAGATTTTTTGCATAATTATCACAGACGTATTCCTTTTGTAGGTTCAAACTTTGTAGAACCTCAATTAATTGCTTTTTGGTATAATCTTCGTGAAAATAAATGTCGTTATTATACATTTAGTTTTGGATTGTTGCTTTTGTGTCACATGAGGAAGGGGTTTTAGCCCACTGTCTACTGTGATAACTTGCATTGTCCATTACAATGACGCTATTAGGAGGAATGTTTGGAACTAGTTTGTTTTTAAACCAACTTTCAAATAAATCAGCGGTGGTGTCTTCATGGTAATCCAGAGAAGAATCTTTAATATTTTTCGCAGACAGAGAAAGAGAAAGTCCATTTGGAATCCAACCATCTCTAGAGCCAGCATGCAAAATAGTTATTTTTTTGCCTCTTTTTGATGGCGCGTTTGTTTTACACTTATCAGTTGAGTCAACCCAACCCTTTTCCGGGGTATCATAAGTGTCGAACCAGGTTTCATCCAAGTAAATAATTGGCTTTTGTTGTTCTCTATAAATCCTAATTTTTTCTAGATATTCCTGTCGCCATTTCCGAATTTTCAAAAATTCCATTAAAACTTGCCCATGTGTTGAATACACTTCTATAAGGTAGTTCTGCCACATTTAACACCTGTTCCATCTTTTTCAAGCCTTCTAATTAAGATATCTAATGTAGGCACACTTTGTTCCTCGTATAACTGGTAAATTTGACGCCATATTATATCTTGATCATTTTCATCTACACTCGAGAAATGTCAGCATCGCTTCTTTTTTTCCTCGCTTTAATGGGATTATTCACAATTTTCCATACAGTTAATGTTGGAATTTTCGTCAATGTGGCCGTTTCATCTAAAGATGCTTGCTTGCTGGCACCACGTTAAATGAGAGTCAAGTAAACATTGTTTATAACTTCCTTAGTCTCAATAGAATAGTGTTTTCTACATTTGGGCGGGAGCATCTCTTGAGATACACTAGACTAGACTCGCACATGTTTTGCATTATTCGCACACGATTCAACACACGCTGTATTATCCACGAAATAAGAATGATTACTAATAGACTTAAACTAAGTAGTATACCAAACAAAAGAATATTAAACACAGGTAGGTATAAAATTATTTTCTATTACGGACTACAATTTTACGTGAATTTAAATTCCGAAACTTTAGGTAATAATCTTGTTGCATTGTAAGTTAATGACCATCCTTGGATATCTATGAACAGACCATATCCTTAATTGAAAAGTTTTTGCTAAAATTGTAACGATATTTTATGCAGAACTACAACTCTTACTTGAAGTAAATTCAGGGTTACCCTTTAATAATATCATATTCCAAAGTCGCTACATCGAAATGTCAGAGCAAATTTCCGTTTTTTTTTTGATTTACTTAGTCTATTTCCAGGTATCTCTCAGGTTTCAATCTTTTATAGTACGTACACATTAGCTTTATCACATTGCTTATAACATTTCTCGGCAATTAGAATAAACCGCAAAAATATAGCGAAATTGTCAGAATTTTTGGTAAAGATGCAAAAGAGTTGGAAAATATTTTGGAGATTATTGTAAAAAGCGATAAATTAAAATCAGTCATGGAAGCTAGAAATTTGGGTTTCCTCATCGACAGAAATTTATGATTTAACTCTCAGAGAGATTGAAGGTGTTGAATCCACATAGTACAAATATTAAGTTTCTAGATCAGGCGGAAGTGAACCGAATCCAAAGAGTTCAGAAAGCTTGCAATAGTTGAAAGTTTGACCCCGTAACTCATAAACTTAAACATACAAATATGCGTAATTTTCATGCAGTAATGTAAAATAGTTTTGTAGATCATTTACCTACGACATAACTTATATCACAGTCCGTAAATTTTGAAATATTCAAACATTCAAACAGTAACTTCATGACTTTGTCTGAAAGTAGCCTATTGTTTATATAGTAATATAATATAGTAACTTAATAATATGCGCACATTATTTGTGTATTTGGTCCGTTCAATTGATTAGTTATTAAGTACTTTCCAGCTTACCTATCGGTAAAATAATACAATAAATATAAAATTATATATGGTAAAATAATATTCCAGATTCCATTATTATGTGTTAGATTATTTTTGAGTGGTAAAATATTGACATCCACAGGTCATACCGTCCACAGGTCTTACTAAACCCATATGGGTGCAATGCACGCGAAAAATATGGTTCTTCTAGAATTTATATTTTTTATAATTATCATCTATTTCATCGTGGTTTCTCGAAAAAACAATCAACTGTTGAGAAAATACTTAAGTTGTTTAATTTATCAAATAGGCATGTAGATATTTTCTCTTCTCTCGGTTTCCGCAATCTCGTAGAATATGGCGGAGTAAACAGCGTAGTTACTGAAAATGTGCTTGTAATTTATACGAGGGACCAAAGTTTCTAATCCATAGTAATAAATTATGGAAATCATAGCGAACTAAAATTTTATCAAATAAATTTGTTATGGTATTTTATGCAAAAAATTTGGTAAGTGAGTCGGTAAATTTTTGCGCGAACTGACAAACGTCAAAATACGATGTAAATAACATCTGTCTAAAATATTTGAAGCATAGAAATGTCAAAAATTTCATTTTTGAGATAATTGCCGGTGTTCGTAAAAATAGGGCAAATGCAGATTACTCAATTATTACGGTAGGTCCCTTTTCTTTTCTCGGCACATGCAGCGGGGCACGTACGACAATTTTGACACAGAACGATAAATATCAAAAAATGGCACATACCGCCTCCGACATTTTCCCTCTTCATTTGATTGAGGGAAATTTATTTTATTCTCAGAAATTTAGCGAAAATGAATTGTATTTTAATAAGGAAAAGGTTTCTAGTATACTTGGTATGGTAAATGTAGCACATTTCGATTTTAATTCGCATACATTCCCCAATTTCGTTGTAGTGACGATTTATTTTTATTATCCTCGTATTCGATCTAAACCGATCGCAAAAATTTCCCTTTTTAATTAGATATTTCAGCCAAAAAATTCACCTGAAATATATTTCTCAAATCTTTTGGGATTATGAAAGGACTTAACCGAGGTCCTTTCATGCCGTCCGGAATTGTATTGTGTAACCTTCCTCTCGCAGTTTGAAAAACGCTAAAAGTTTCGAGAAGCTCCTTTCCGCAATCGTTTCAAAAGGACGAGAAAGTTGATGTCTAAATGAGATAAGGAGTTTTTTAATTTTTTTTTTGGAGATCACTTAAAGGGAGTCGTGTTTAAACGAACAGAAGTTGAAGTCGAGAAATTGATAATACTTAGGTCGCAGACAGTCAGTCAGGGCATTTTAGCCCTAAATGTTTTGTATCGTTTGTAAGGAAATCAATACGAATTGTTTCCTGTACGCATCTTTCCATGCGAAGCTCCTTTTTGCTTTTGTATCGTACGTTTGTGCAATCGGCTTAGTTTGGGAGCCCAGAAAAGCCAATAATTTTCAATAATTGTCTCTTTTTTCGGTTGATGTATGGATGGTACATTAACCGGCGAGGAACATATAACACTACTTCTTGTCCAAAATGTTTATCAGATTGATATCTCATACAGGATTTTTTCTTGAAAAACATTTATCAAATTATAGCTGTGTATGTGGTGTGTAAGGCTGGTATGCTAATTTAAAGCAATCCAATCAAAGCGATAGATAGGAGGAGCGTTCGCAAAGATACTCAAAAATGCTTGAAGCAAGAAGCTGATGCGTTGGAACAATAGATATAAGTTTTTGTGTATTTTTTTAAGTTTATTGTTTACAATCATTAGAAAAATTGTCAATAACTTTGACGTTTTTAACTTAAGATTTACTGTTCTCCGCATAATGGTTCCCATTTGGAGAGTACAAAATAATTGCTGTCTGAAGTCTGAAATTCAATTAATTAAAAGGTGTAAAAGACATTTGGTATGGTAAATGGTTCATGGATCCCAAAAATATGAGTTTCTTAGTTCTAGTTAATATTTTTGTCATATTTCCATTATACCTACCAATACCTTAAGGACACCTAACATCCAAAAATCGTTTCTATTTGAAATTTGCAAACGTATTTTATAACACCGGTCATTGGCAGCACTTATCACGCATCTCTCGCTCGGTGGCGTGTCATCAGCTCATGACATATGAGGAATGGAAATAGGATTCGCTAAACTGCAAACATATACATATATCTATAATCGATCTGTTCTCTAAACGACGCCATGGGGCATGTCACGCATGAGAATAAATTATACCCCGCGATGTTTATCAAACCGGATCTGTGTGAAGGCTAAAAAAAGTCACGTTTTGGAAGGGTGGGATTATATGAAGTTAATGTTCTATCCGAGAATTTTGCGATAAGCAAATATCTGCTAAAATGCAGCAAACGATCTCTACTAAGCTTAACTACTGAATCAAAAACAATCCGAAGGCGAGCATACTGAGAGGTCCCATGACTGTCGTTCTGACGATGTATAAGATTTATCAGATTTATATTTTAATGGCAATTATTGATAGGGAGAATAAATAGTTTTACATACCATAGAGATTTTTTAGACGGCCAAATCCCTGGATTTTAAAGTGTTATTTCGTATATAGGAAAGTCTGAGTTCTACAGAGTGTTTTCCAATTAAAAGGGAGATTTTTCGGTCCATTTTAAAAAGAAAACTTCATATGAACATATGTACTAAACGTCTTAACTTTTGAGATATAGGGTGAAAATTTAATACCACCAATACCAATACAATTGACAGCGTACGGACTTTCACCTGTCTATTTTGCAGACATTGATGGTATGCCACTGATTTCTCTTAAAATAAAAATTATTCTTTCAATCTCCAATCATTCCTAAAGAAATTAAATTTTTTGATTGATTTGATATATACACCGATGGAACTTCGCACATTTCCGGGATATTATCGCACGGGTTCGGCAGCAATCGGATGTTTTCGGAGATTCTTTACACGCCTTGAATTTTGACGTTTGTCAATTCTGTCGGTCATGTCAATGAATGTATTCGTGTTGTTTTGCGAAAATTATAGTATATAGAGAAAAAGTATAGTATGCCACACTTTCGGTAAACTTTTTAAGTCACTCTTTTATTAAACACTCATCCGTTGCGCTCCGCTCGTGCCAAATAAACTCGTGATTCAAATGCCTTTTACCACACTTGTTGTATAATATTACTAACTAATTCGGCATTTATTTTCAAATTATATTTGTATCTTATTGATTGAGTAAAAAAGGTAAAAGTAATTTTTGGACTTAACCTTGAATGTTAATGCGTTAAAAGTTTGATTTGATCCGAAATATAGCCATCAGATAATATGGAGCCATAAATAACTTTAAAATTGTTGTACTTTTGGAGACTATTCATACATAAGTGCATATAAATTTTACATACTGGCGCGGACTCGTCGGCATTCCTTTATTTATTTTTCATCTTATTTCCCATTTGCTTTAAGTCTTTATAATGTAACTTCAGCTAAAATATCGTTTTTTCAACTTTTTTTTATTTTCTTCCAGTTTTTCATCTCAACTTTCAGTAAAAATTATTTTTTAATTTTAATACATTTTGTGATAAATTACCTACGCTTTTTACGTTTAATTACGTTGTTGTTGATTTATTCCAAGCGGCCACAAAGTCAAAGAGTATTATATGTATTGAACGCACTCTTTACTTCATTTATATGGTGTTTATATGATATAGCATTTTTTGTGGTTAATTACTACTATAAAGGCCAAATTGAATTTTTTTTTTGTTGGTTCTTAATCAAGCATACTATGTATGGGCACATTTTAATAGGAATAGGACATTTAGAGTATTTCGAATATCGAAATTTTATTTCCAGCATGAATCTTAGATGTCAGGATACCATTAAAAGCGATTATAAGGTCGGAGAGTGTTGAAACGGTCTTGATAATCCTTGTTTGATTCACAAATGAAAATTCTTAATTTGGTGTTTATTTATTTTTTATTACTTTAAATATTTAAAGTTTTTTTACAAATAAATTAATTAGAATTTTATTGGAGGAAATTTGAGCTTTTTTCCCTGTCCGCTTCACACGAAATTCCCGATAGTCTGCTCTTTTATAATATATTCAAATTCAAGTTTACGCGAAATCTGACTAACGTGTAGAGGGAGTTTCGGGAAGTTTTTATCTAATCGGACATCCTCGAATTTGCATTCAGAGCGTCTTAATATATTCACGCCGCAACTCTTTACGAGACGCTCTGAATGAAGCTTAATGCCGAACCGAAAGTTTCCCTGAAAACAGGAAAACACTTTTTAAAGCGTTTTGTCCAAATCGTGAATACGTGAGTCTCCATCCGGTCCGCAGGAAACTTTCGACTTTGTGTAAAGCCAGAATATTGCACTAAACCGAATTTTCTATTCAGGAGGACATCGAGAGCAGTCTCGGCATTATCCACGAAGTGTCCATCAAGAGTTTGGGGACGTTATGCGTGACCGAGCAGTTCAGATCTCTCAACGTGCCAGTAGATACCCTTCGATTCGAATCCGCCCGTCAAAAAGCGGATTTGGCTGCTACTCTGCTTCAAGATTTGGGAGTTGCTCATCACAACGGTAAGCGTTTTTCAGCGCTGTGTTACAAGCAATATTTGTATTCCAGTTAAACAGAGCTCGGAGAAATTGAAATCTACCGCGGGTAGGTAAAACCAGTAAAAATTCGCTTATTTTTCAATTTCCAAGACAAATTGGTTCAAAGAATACCCTGCGACTCACGGTCGCCGCGTATAACGAAATTTTTCCGCTTCGTTGTTACCTACAGTGAAACAAACTGGAAGATAAAAGCCGTCAGGTATAATCCGAATGAACATTATAAAACCGGAGGATGGGGAGGTTACGTTTGCTGGGAGTATTTCGAGCGTGCAAACTTTCGGGAAGATAACGAGGAGTAACTAATAATGGGTATTTTGAATACACAAATAACTTGTTTCGGGATCAACGCGCGCTAAAATTCGTATTCGTAAGAAAATTGGTATAGTATGCCTCAAAGTATATCCTTCTGTCTTTTGCGGAAATTTTCAAAATAATCCGATACAATACCCGACCAGTCCGTATTGTAGAACAGAGCATCAAGGACCAACTTTACAGGTATCTTAAAAATATAAAGATTACGATGTTAATTTAGATACATTAGTGTTAATAGAAAATACGATCAAACTAAGTAAATACAAATCATCAATAATTACTTACATAACTAAGTTTTAATTCAAATTCTAATTGCATTTTTAATTATATTTATAATTAATTGGATCAATTTATATTTATAAATCCCTCTTCTGATGCAGCGTAATTATGGTGATGCGTTTTCCTTGACTTGAACCTAGCTTAGTCTGATAGTATTTAATTGAAATAGGTTAAGCTCAATTTGAGAATAAGTAAGCTTTGCATATACTCAAGACTATGTCGGCTTAAAATAAATGGCAAATTCTCAATGTCTTAAGTTTTTTTTAAACAAAAATGTAGGTAATTCAAAGCAAATATTAGATAAAATTTTAGATATTTATGTAGCAACTTGATTTGAGCAAACACCGATTCATTTTGAAAATATAAATATAAATGAGCATAATTTTATATTGAATTTTTCTACTTTTAAATTAGATACATACATACTTAAAAATATTCATTTAGTTGCTTTAAATCAAGCATTAGGGCAATTCTATCCAACAATTTGTACCTGTTTTGTTCGATCTTACCGCAGTTTTATATTGAGAGAGTGCTAATTTTACCACAAAAATGGAAATATTTTTAAAGTAAAATTTTGTATAATTTTGTTTACACCATTCTAAAACTTTTATTCTGGGAGATACGAAAATACATGCAAAACATATAAAGAGCTTTTCAGCTTATCTTTTCACTAAAACATATTATTTATTGACCAACGATTTCTGATAATTTTAACAAATTAAGAAAGTTGAAGAATTCTCTTAAAAAATGGGTTTTTCGAAGGTTTTGATAAAAATACGTTAATAGCTATGCTATTTGTTATTAAGAAGGTAAGCCGACGATTTTTACATTATTTGCAGTAATCTCATGTACCTAAAACTAGTATTTCTCTTATTATATATAGATAATTTTTGTGATGCAGAATGCAGATTTACTCTAACATATAAATAGTTACGTACGTACGTACTTTTTATTTTAATCTCGAAAATGGAAGCAGGGAGGGCTTTAGAAAAGATTGTGTCATTTGTATAGGCAATTTTTCATATTTTAAATTTTCTTTTAGTGCTTCGTTCTCTGCTTCTCCTTATAGTAAATCTTACAAAAAAAGAGAATAAAGGTTAACTTTTTTTTATTAAAAAATGATACAAAATTCTTTAAAAATAGTTCACCTTAAGAAGTGCATCAACTTGTTAATTGCTGCAATAATAAAGAACTACATTTACCTTAGCGTTAAATACATTAAAAGTATAAACAACAGCAATTACTTCAATTCTGTGTCTTGACATTTTTTGGTGTGCATCTAGTTTTGTCAAAGAAGAATTATCCATGCACCATATGTCAAATTACATATATATGTCAAATTACATATATATTACACAAGAACTTGCCAGCAATGGGCGCAAATTTCTCAAAATTTCGATGTGGCCCCGAACATTCTTAAGCAGATAGCTACATTCAGATGTATTTGGGAAAAATCCCTACTCTCTATAACATGCTTAAATGATGTAAGGAATAAATTTAGTAATGGTAGTGTTCTAACTACATACCTTTCAATACATTTATAACGGACTCTGGAAGTTCCCAACTTTTCGATGAATCTTCTGTGTTTATTGTAATTATAACACAATAGCACTGGTAATAATTATATTAGTTTCATCTTCTTTTATATTACTTTCAGCTAATCGAAAATAGAGGCAATGTGGTTTTGACGAAAGGAATATATTTTCCTTTTTGTCATTTCTTATTCACTGTGAACAGTATCCTTTAACGAGAAGATCCACGATTAAGTTTTTATTTTAAAATTTCTTGTGTAATGAGTCCTGTACTTATTAAACATTCATATATATTTTTGGTTTTGAACCGGAAACGGAAAAATTAGAGATGATTTTTCATTCGAAACTATTAGTGGATAGGTTATAAGCGTCGGACTCTTTTAGTTATTATTATTATGAAACTCTTGACTGGAATCTTCGGCACTGCACTAACACATAATAACGCGTTTTACCACAAACCGAAACTCAATCTTACTTGAGTTTTAATCTTCTCCTGAAGATACCAACTTAGTTGGCGAAACGCGCGTCGAGTACGTAAAACTGAGTTTCGGTTTGTAGTAAAACGCGTTATTGTGTATTATTATTATGGAAATTTACATGTCAAAATTGTCGATATATGCGCCGAATACTAATAGCCCATTTATTATTGTTTTTGTAGATCGTTTATTGTTTACGGCTTAAGTAGACGAATGTGACAAATTGTGGTACAAAATGCAATAGCTGAGGGTTGAAGGTTATTTTTAGACCGTTTCTTCAGGTGGCTATTATTCAAATATGAATGAAAAAATAAAGATATACATTAAATTTCCATCAAGAAAAAAAACTGATTTGTGTTGAAAGAATAACGCGGCAGAATGAAAATGTACAAAAGGTAACTATGTTCTAGTAATAGACAAATTCATGTGCTGTTTTCTAAATTTGTACTATACCTGGCACAATAAAACAATACGTTCTGGGCATTAAACAATACATTGTCTAACATCGGACAGCTTATTCTACAGCTTGTCCCATAGCTTGGGAGTGTGTTGCTGGGGTGATTTCAAGTTAAAAATGTCAAATGATCATATACCCAAAACGCTGCTCTAATTGAGATACAAGAATTGGAAATTCTATATTAAAAGAAACCCCTTTATTTTTTATTTATTAATATTTTATTTTATTGACTTAGTTGTTCAGTTTCTTAGAATTGAAGTCTCAGGATCAGCACTAATAGTTTCAGCGGCATCCATAATTTTTACTACTTTCTGAATGCTGAACCTCTTCCAATCCACCGGTTTGTATATTTTTGATTAAGAAGTTCTGTTTCTTGTGGACCAAAGTGAGAACACTAGTAAAAGGTTGAGCACGGGATGCTCAGAAGTAGCTGTAGAAAACTTGCCAGTTTCTCTCAAACATCGATGGACATTGCTATTCCATTTCGCAGTCCATAAACAAAGTGAATGTCGGCGTATTCTTCATTCGAAAAAGTAAACATTATACCTAGGCTGGACTGTTTAATATTAATATTCTTCTTTAAAATTTCAAATGCTTGTGGCTCAGTTAGAACACCACACTCCAAAGTCCTGTTGTGGGACACCTTGTATATAAAAATTTTCTAATAGTTTCTTTATCTATAAAATAATTTCATCACACTATAAAAATTGAAACTAATTTCATATGATACATGACAGAACTGTCTTACTGTGTCAAATTTAATTGAAAAATGCTTTTTTTATTTCTATCTTTAGTTCTACAAATACAGTTTAGTTAGGTGATATCACAGATACGACTTTCAGAGGATATACAGTAATCTTGGAGACCTTTTTTAACTTTTCATATATAACGGAAACTCATACGATTTCAGTGCTATAGTCTCATTATGAATTTAAGTATTTGCCACCCCCGCAAAATGTTCTACAACATAAATAAAAATAAATTTGTATACAATACGGAATATTACTTATAAGGCAGCTGTACGAAACTCCTTGTTCCAATATCAATCAAAATAAATTCAGAAGATACAAAATCAGCCACATAGCACTAGAAATCGAAATGACTGTCTAGAGCCTAGTAAATGTAATATGCTTCTGGAGCAAATAAAACCTTTTCCATATATTATTAAGATAATAATTACTTTTTACAAAACTTTTGGATTGCTCCTGCGTCGGTTTTTGCTGAGTAGGACTTGCTAACTTTTCGCTAATATTCCTGTTGGCTTCTTCAGAGCTTGACTGAACCTGGCTAGCATTTTACTCTGTACCTGCTTATACAGGGTTTTTCACTTAAAACTCCGCACGCCAATAAGTCCGAAACGAAAAGAAATATTTAATTTATGTAAAAAGTAGTCAAAGTGTGGGGTCAAGTAGATATTTCCTAAAGTTTAAAAAATTCGACGCCTGCAAAGAGCTGGGCGTCGCGACGCGTCGAAAAATTATTCGATTGCAGAGACTTTGGAAATACGTGCATACAAAAGTACATATTATTTAAAAACTTTTTTGTTATTTACTCAAACTTATTTACTTTACCCGTTTCTAAGTTATACCGATTTAAAGTAAACATTTCGTGATTAATAAAAAATGCGATTAACGCTTATTTTTACAAGTATGCCATGAATGTTAGTTACTATGGCAACCATTGTTATCGCAGTTGTTTTAAGTGCAATTACAAACGTAAATTGTTATTGCTGTATCAAAAAATTGTCACATTTTGTCACAAGAAATATCCAAATTTGTTCGGTTTAAAAAAAACTAAGAATTATTATGTGAAAATGGTGCAATTTAGCAATCAGGAAAAAGTAGACATGTTACTGGTGTTTGGAGAATGCAGATGCAATTGTAGAGAAGCAAAAAGAGTTTACGCACG